TGTTCGTCACGTATCCTGGTGACGGTCGTCGCCCTGACGACAACAAGACTCGACCATAAATACGGTACCACGACCCTAATCCGCAATCTCCGCTCGACTCGCACCCTGTCCGTGACAACTTGTGCTGGTCTCTAAACAATGGTAAGTCCTCTCACCCATCCACACTAAATGCGTCTACAGATGATGACGGCTATTAATCCCCCCTCCTATATGTTTCGTTCTGTTTTAGCGTGAATGCATCTCAGTTCATGTGGGTCAGGCCGGTGTCCAGATTGGAAACGCCTGTTGGGAACTCTACTGCCTGGAGCATGGAATCCAGCCGGATGGTCAGATGCCCAGTGATAAGACCATCGGTGGTGGTGACGACTCCTTCAACACCTTCTTCAGTGAAACTGGAGCCGGCAAACACGTGCCTAGGGCCGTCTTCATCGATTTGGAACCAACTGTAGTTGGTGAGTTTTTAAACTCGTTTTCAAAACTGAATATATGTGTATTTTTAAAGTATATCGTAGACTTTAGTTACTGTAACAGGCATATGCCTTCTTAGCATAAATGCGAGAGCATGGTAACAATTAAATCAAACGTTTGGTAGGCTTCCACATCGAAGGTATTAGCAACGGTACACCGCCACATGCAATTTTTATACCGTAGTCATCACGACAGCTGATGGCTTGTCTTTACCGAGAACGTCTGCGTCATACTGCCATCCTGTGTCCCACAGTCAGCTTTGCTAATTCAGAACCTCAAGACTTGTTTCATCGATAGGGCGAATTCAGGATTGCTGTCTGAACCTAGGCATATGTGCATGGACCCAAATAGCACCCCAGCCCTCTCTAAGAATAAATTATTCGAGTGAATGGTACGATCAGACTTGCTTGAATCTATATGAGGCTCTCCTAAGTTCAGAGATCTCAAAATACACCCACCAGAGTGAGTTTAAGTGGACAGATCCAACGAGACTTTTACTTTAAGGGTAAACTGGGGCCTCCATCTACCTCGGAGTTCTTCCTGCTAAATACGCGTTTTGAATCAGCTGCATTCACCAACCTATTCATTTTTCAATAAGTTTCTTAACTAACTCGAATCCCACTCGTTACTTTTAGATGAGGTACGAACCGGCACCTATCGCCAGCTCTTTCACCCAGAGCAGCTCATCACTGGTAAGGAAGACGCCGCCAACAATTATGCCCGTGGCCACTACACCATAGGCAAGGAGATTGTTGATCTGGTGCTGGATCGCGTTCGTAAGCTCGCCGATCAGTGCACCGGTCTGCAGGGCTTCCTGCTCTTCCACTCCTTCGGAGGCGGTACTGGCTCCGGTTTCACCTCCCTTCTAATGGAACGCCTCAGCGTTGACTACGGCAAGAAGTCCAAACTTGAATTTGCCGTCTATCCGGCTCCACAAATCTCCACCGCCGTGGTCGAACCCTACAACTCCATTCTGACCACGCATACGACACTAGAACACTCTGACTGCGCCTTTATGGTCGATAACGAGGCCATCTATGATATTTGCAGGTAAGTGCAACATTTTATGTTTTTTTCAGTTATCGCGCAGCGCTGTGCATCAACACAGTCCCTTATAATTATTGATTTGATAAACCCTTGCAGTTATCGATTTTTCTTAATGCGCTATCGCCTGGCGTCCCATGACCCCGACTTTCTCTATCTCTTTATGCCAACAGACGCAACTTGGATATTGAACGCCCAACCTACACCAACCTTAATCGCCTTATTGGCCAGATTGTCAGCTCCATCACAGCATCCCTGCGTTTCGATGGTGCCCTGAACGTGGATCTGACAGAGTTCCAGACCAATCTGGTGCCCTACCCACGTATTCATTTTCCTCTGGCCACCTACGCGCCTGTCATTTCCGCAGAAAAGGCCTACCACGAGCAGTTGACCGTGGCGGAAATCACCAACGCCTGTTTCGAGCCGGCCAACCAGATGGTCAAGTGTGACCCCCGTCACGGCAAGTACATGGCCTGCTGCATGCTCTACCGTGGTGATGTGGTGCCCAAGGACGTGAACGCAGCCATTGCTACCATCAAAACCAAGCGGACCATTCAGTTTGTCGACTGGTGTCCCACTGGTTTCAAGGTCGGCATCAA